AGGTAGAGGAAAGACGTGATGGTGAGAACATTGTCACGCCAGTGTCAATCGCTGAGTATCATTTACCAACCTTTACCGACATGAGGAGGATAAAGCGCTCGAGAGGCTGTCCACACGTGGGTTGTCCAGAGACAACGACGCCGCTACTGCATGTTCGACCACTCCAAGAACGTCGTTGTGTCAGGAGGTTCCCTGACAGTTGTTGAAGGAAACTCCATTACATATGAGGGACAACATGCGGATTATCCAACCAGCGGCCGTGCTGGAATTCAAGGTAGGATGTCATCTATCTCGTCCTATTCGGTCACTGACTTTTTTTCTTTTGCATCAGCATTGAAAGTACTCCATAAAAATATCGCAGCGGGCGCGATGCACAACTCCAAAGAACGTTATGACGCTCCCAAATGCCATCCTGACACTCGAAAAGCAGTGTTAAGTGATATCACCAGTTGGATTTCGGATCACTCCAAGAAAACTTGTATCCTCTGGCTGAGTGCTCCAGCCGGATCAGGAAAATCGGCTATTTTGGAACAAATAGCAGAAAATTTTTATAATTCTGGGGGATTGGCTGCAAGCTTCTTCTTTTCTCGGACGGCTACGAAGAGAAACAGTGAGACCTTCCTTATCGCCACGCTCGCCTCCCAACTTGCGACTTCGATCCCAGCCACTAAACCACTCATCGAAGGAGCGATTGAGCGAGATCCATCCATCTTCCATCGCGTACTCTCCGAACAGATGGTCCGTCTTGTGGTTTACCCGTTGGTGTATGCCTCACTCCATCCTGAGAGCGGTCCACTGTGGCCAACGTTGCTTGTTATAGATGGGCTTGATGAGTGCAATGGAGGAGAACGTCAGGGTGTAATCCTTCGTATCCTCGGGATGGCCCTTTTACAATTGAAGTCCTCTTTACCACCACTTTACCTCCTGATCGCAAGCAGGCCAGAGCCAGCCATTGTCGCGCTTTTTGACAATGAACTCTCGGATATCACTCACCGTTTAGTTCTCGACGACTCTTACAATCCTGATCGTGACATCGCCGTATTTCTTCAAAGCAGCTTCGCTGACATTTTCCGTCGACGCCATGCTCGCTTCCCTTCTATGTCATCCCTCCCGCAGCCGTGGCCCCCAGAAGATGTTATTTCTTTCCTTGTCCAGAAATCATCCGGCCAATTCATNTTGCTGCGACG